TGGCTGTCCCATGTTCCCAGCACCATTTATTGAAGACACTTTTTTTTTTTCCAATTAGATATTCTTTCCTGCTTTGAGGAAGATTAGTTGACCCTAGAGTTGAGGGTCCATTTCTAGTTTCTCTATTCTGTTCCATTGATCTGTGTGTCTGTTTTTGTGCCAGGACCATACTGTCTTGATATCACAGCTTTGTAATAGAGCTTGAAGTCTGCAATTGCATTGCCATCAGTGATGGTTTTCTTTTTCAACATCCCTTTGGCTATTCGGAGTCTTTTTGGCTTCCACACAAATTTGGGGATTATTCATTCCAATTCTGTGAAAAATGTGGATGGTATTTTGATAGGGATTGCATTGAATCTGTGGATTGTTCTGGGTAGCATAGACATTTTCACAATATTTCTTCTTCCAACCCGTGACCATGGAACATTTTTCCATTTCTTTGTGTCTTCCTCCATTTCGTTCATGACTATGGTATGGTTTTCTGAGTACAAATCCTTTGCCATTTTGGTTAGATGGAGTCCCAAGTATCTTATGGTTTGGGATGCGATGATACATGGGATGGACTCCTTAATTTCTGTTTCTTCTGTCTCATTGTTGCTGCAGACAAATGCAAGTGATTTCTGTGTATTGATTTTATATCCTATCACTTTACAGAATTCCTGGCTGAGTTCTAGCAATTTGGGGGTGGAGTCCTTTGGATTTTCCACAGAAACTATCCTATTGTCTGCAAAGGGTGAGAGTTTGACTTCCCTGCTCATTTAGATGCCTTTTCTTTTTGTTGTCAGATGGCTGAGGCTAAGAATTCTAGTACTATGTTGAACAATAGTGATGAGAATGGGCATCCCTTTTGTGTTCCTGACCTGAAGGGAAAAGCTCTCAGTTTTTCCCCAGTGGGAGTGATATTCTCTGCGGGTTTCCCATAGATGGCCTTTATGATGTGGAGGTACCCTCTGTCCCTCCACGGTAAAGAGTTTTGATCAAGAAGGGATGCATTAATTTGTCAGATGCTTTTTCTGCATCTATTGAGAGTATCCTATGGTTCTTGTTCTTTCTTCTATTAAGGTAGTGGATTCCACTAATCGATTTTCAGTTGTTGAACCACTCTTGCAGCCCAGTAATAAATTCAGTTTGGTCATGGTGAATCATTCTTTTAGAGGGCTGTTGGATCCTATTGGCTAGTATGTTGGTGAGAATTTTTGCATCCATATTCATCAGGAATAGTGATCTGTAATTCTCCTTTTGGGTGGACAGATCTGGTTTTGGGATCAAGGTAATGCTGGCCTTATCAAAAGGGCTTGGAAGTTACGCTTCCAGTTCTATTTTTAGGAAAAGTTTCAGAACAAGAGGTATTAAATCTTTTTTAAATGTTTGGTAGAATTCCCCTGGGAAGCCATCTGGTGCTGGGCTCTTGTTTCCTGGAGGATTTTTGATGACTGCTTCAAGTTCACTGCTGATTATGAGTCTCTTCAGGTTTCCTTTTCTTCCCAGTTCAGTTTTGGTTGTTTCTATGTTTCTGGGAATACATCCCTTTTTTCAAGACAGCCTGATTGGTTGACATAGAGTTGGCATCCTATATTCTTATACTTGTTTGTGTTTCCCTGGTGTTGGGTGTGGTCTGTCCTTCTTGATTCATGATTTTATTTATTTGGGTCCTTCCTGTGTTCTTTTTGAGAAATCTGACCAGGGGTGTATCAGTCCTATTAATTCTTTCAAAGAAGCAGCTCCTAGATTCGTTGATTTGTTCTACTATTTTTTTTGGTTTCTACTTCTTTGATTTCTGCTCTGATCTTTATTATTTCTTTTCTCCTTCTGGGTTTAGACTTTCTATGCTCCTCTTTTTCCAGTTCCTTTAGGTGTAGGGTTAGGTTGTGTATTTGAGACCTTTCTTGGTTCTTGAGAAATGGTTGTCATGCTATATACTTCCCTTCTAGGACTGTCTTTGCTGCATCCCAAAGATATTGAATGGTTGTGTTTTCATTCTCCTGTGTTTCCATGAATTTTTAAAATTCATCTTGAATTGACTGGTTGATCCATACATTCTTTAGTAGGATGCTCTCTAGCCTCCATGTATTTGAGTTCTTTTCACTTTTCCTCTTGTGATGGAGTTTCATTTTCAAAGCATTATGGTCTGAACATATGCAGGGAATGATCCCAATCTTTTGGGATGAGAATGAACATGGCGGCCTCCCTATCTCTGGACTTGGAGCTGGGAGCTCGGGGCCCCACTCCTCAGTGTGCCCTCACAGAAAAGTGGTCCATCCCTTGTGTCACCCTGGTCTCTGTCTGCACTCTGTGCTCACCAGTCCTGTGACCAACATTTCTGTGTCTGGCACACAACCCAGTTTGGAGTCTCCAACCCTAGCAGACTCCTGCAGCATGCTCAGGCACCACTCCTCCTGGGGGAGGAAGGGAGCTCTGTCCAGGTGTGCCGCTTCTTGGGTCCCTTCTCAAAGAGGAGTGGCCAGACTCTGCTGTGGATCACAGTTTATGGCAACCTCCAGCTTAGAGCCCACTCCTGGGCTCACTCTTTGTAAATGGCTTCCCTACTCCAATACCTGGGAGCTCTGCTGCCCTCAAGTGCCCCAGTCTCCCTGGGACCCTGAGGATCCTGAGACCAAACTGTCCCATCGAGGGTTTCACCCCCTGCCCAGCCACCAGAGCAACATCCCTCACCAGAACAGACTTCTGCAAGTTCCGATTTTGTGCTCTGCTGCCCCTAGCACTTGGCAGTAGCCGGCTGACAGAGGCTCCCTCCCCCCAGGGTTTATCTTTCCACCTATCAGCTTAGACTCACTTTTCTCTACTTCGTACCTTGTGGAAAGTGGTCTCCTTACTGTTTGTAGCATTGCTGCTCTTCTTTTCTTGGATCTGTGCTAGAATTTGCAGGTGTTTAGAATGGTTTGATAGCTATCTAGGTAAATTCCTTGTGCCAGATGAAATGAAGGTGTCCTACTCCTCTGCCATCTTGGACTCTGTCTCTCTCTTCTTTCTCCAGATTGCTTTGGGTATGGTGGGCATGTTAACATTATTGACTCTTCTAGTTAATGAGCATGGGATACGCTTCCATTTATTTCTGTCATCTTCCAAATCTTTGGCCCATACATTCACCCACCAACACGCACATGTTTTTCCTTCCCTTTCCACCAGGTATTCAGTATACCAGGGCTTCCTCATTCTTGGTTACTTTCATTCCTAGATTTTTTTTTTTTTTTGCTTGATGCAGTTATCAATGGCATTGCTTTCTTAATCTCTTTGTGAAAGTTGGTCATCAGTACATAAAAATACAAGTTGGGGCACTTGGGTGGCTCTGTCAGTGAAGTGTCTGCCTCCAGGTCAGGTCATGATCTTGTGGTTTTAGGAATGAGTCCAGCATTGAACAGTCCATGTTCAGCAGAGAGTCTGCTTTTCCCGGACTCTCTGCTGCTCCCCCTGCTTATGCTCTCTCTCTCTCTGTCTCTCTCCACATCAAATACATACATTCTTTAAAAACAAGAAATGCAACATGTCTCTGTATATTGACTTTGTATCCTGCAGCTTTACTGAATTTATTTATTCTAATTTATTCAAATTTGTTTATTTGTTAATAAAATATTTTGTGTGTGTGTGGACTCCTTAGGGATTTCTACATATAGTATGTCATCTGCAAATAGTGACCATTTTCTTTTCCTATTTAGATTTCATATCTTTTTTTTTTTTTTTTTGCTTTTTGTTTTTTTGTCTAAATCATTTGGCAAGGGCTTTCAATATGATGATGAATGAAAGTGATAAGAGTGGGAATCTTTATCTTGTTCTTGCTAGTAGTGGGAAAGTTTTCAGCATTTCACCCTCAAGTATAAAGTCAGCTGTGGGCTTTTCACATAGGGCCTTTGTTTGGTTGAGGTGTGTCCCTCAGTACACAGATGGTTTAGAGTGTTTATCATGAATGCATATCGAATCCTGTCAAGTGTTCTTTCTGCATCTATTGTAACAATCCTAGGATCTTTATCTTTTATTTTGTTAAGGTGGTGTGTGTTACTGGTGGATGTGCAGATGTGGAATCATCCTGGCATCCCTGGAATAAATCCCACTGGATCATGTTATGTGATTCTCCTGATGGACTGTTGAATTGATGTTGCCGATAATTTGTTGAGGATTTTGCATCTCTGTTCATGAGGGATATTGGCCTTTCCTTTTGTTGTAGCATCCTTGTCTTGTTTTGGTAGCAGGGTACTGCTACCTTCATGAAAAGAGTTTGGATGTATGCCCTTCTCTCCTTTTTTATTTTTTTTTAAAGATTTTATTTATTTATTCATCAGAGAGACAGAGCATGCACAAGCAGGCAGAAAGGCAGGCAGAGGCAGAGAGAGAAGCAAACTCCCCACTGAGCAAGGAGCCCGATGTGGGACTCGATCCCAGGACCCTAGGTTCATGACCTGAGCCAAAGGCAGCAGCTTAATCCACTGAGCCACTCAGAGGTCCCTTTTCTCTCCTTTTAAAAAACAGTTTGGAAAGAGTTAGTATTAATTCTTCTTCTATCATCTGGTTAGAGCTCCTTGGTGAAATTGTCTGTTGGGCATTTGTTTCCTAGGAGGATTTGACTATGGGATCAATCTTTTTATTAGTGATCAGTCTGCTCAGACTTTTTTTTCCCCTTCATGGTTCATTCTAGGTTGTTGTCAGGAATTTATCCATTTCTTCTAGGTTGTCCAAGGTGTTGGCCTCTACTTGCTCATAGTACTCTCCAATGATCCTTTGTATTTTTGTGATATTCTTTGCAATAACTCGTTTCTTTCTCCTTTTTTAAGTTTTTCACATTTTTAATTTAAATTCAGTTAGCCAAGGTATAGTTTTTGATGTAACAGTCAATGATTCATTAGTTGCACATAACACCCAGGGCTCATCACCACATGTCCCCTCCTTACTACCCATCACCCAAGTACCCCACCCCCCCAACCTACCTCTCCTCCAGTTTGTTTCCAATGATTAAGAGTCTCTCATGGTGGCAGACGCCATTATCCTCCGTTTCTCTGCTGCTGCAACCTCGACGTCTTACCTACGTCCCGCTTTCTTGCGGCCTATAGATTGGTGTGTCCATTTAATACAAGAAAATGGAAACTGAACAGCCAGAGGAAACCTTCCCCAACACCGAAACCAATGGTGAATTTGGTAAACGCCCTGCAGAAGATATGGAAGAGGAACAAGCTTTTAAAAGATCTAGAAACACTGATGAGATGGTTGAATTACGCATTTTGCTTCAGAGCAAGAATGCTGGGGCAGTGATTGGAAAAGGAGGCAAGAATATTAAGGCTCTCCGTACAGACTACAATGCCAGTGTTTCAGTCCCAGACAGCAGTGGCCCCGAGCGCATATTGAGTATCAGTGCTGATATTGAAACAATTGGAGAAATTCTGAAGAAAATCATCCCTACCTTGGAAGAGGGCCTGCAGTTGCCATCACCCACTGCAACCAGCCAGCTCCCGCTCGAATCTGATGCTGTGGAATGCTTAAATTACCAACACTATAAAGGAAGTGACTTTGACTGCGAGTTGAGACTGCTGATTCATCAGAGTCTGGCAGGAGGAATTATTGGGGTCAAAGGTGCTAAAATCAAAGAACTTCGAGAGAATACACAGACAACAATCAAGCTTTTCCAGGAATGCTGTCCTCATTCCACTGACAGAGTCGTGCTTATTGGAGGAAAACCTGATAGGGTTGTAGAGTGCATCAAGATCATCCTTGATCTTATATCAGAGTCTCCCATCAAAGGACGTGCACAGCCTTATGATCCCAATTTTTACGATGAAACCTACGATTACGGTGGTTTTACAATGATGTTTGATGACCGCCGTGGGCGCCCTGTGGGATTTCCCATGCGGGGAAGAGGTGGTTTTGACAGAATGCCTCCTGGCCGGGGTGGGCGTCCTATGCCTCCATCTAGAAGAGATTATGACGATATGAGCCCTCGTCGGGGACCTCCACCACCTCCTCCTGGACGAGGTGGCCGGGGTGGTAGCAGAGCTCGGAATCTTCCTCTTCCTCCTCCACCACCACCTAGAGGAGGAGATCTAATGGCCTATGACAGAAGAGGAAGACCTGGAGACCGCTACGATGGCATGGCTGGTTTCAGTGCCGACGAGACTTGGGACTCTGCAATAGATACATGGAGCCCATCAGAATGGCAGATGGCTTATGAACCACAGGGTGGCTCCGGATATGATTATTCCTATGCAGGGGGTCGTGGCTCATATGGTGATCTTGGTGGACCTATTATTACTACACAAGTAACTATTCCCAAAGATTTGGCTGGATCTATTATTGGCAAAGGTGGTCAGCGGATTAAACAAATCCGTCATGAGTCAGGAGCTTCGATCAAAATTGACGAACCTCTAGAAGGGTCGGAAGATCGGATCATTACCATTACAGGAACACAGGACCAGATACAGAATGCACAGTATTTGCTGCAGAACAGTGTGAAGCAGTATTCTAGAAAGTTTTTCTAAGACTAGTGAAGAACTGAAGGAGTCCTGCATCTTTTTTTTTTTTATCTGCTTCTGTTTAAAAAGCCAACATTCCTCTGCTTCATAGGTGTTCTGCATTTGAGGTGTAGTGAAATCTTTGCTGTTCACCAGATGTAATGTTTTAGTTCCTTAAAAACAGGGTGGGGGGGGGGAAGGGCGTGCAAAAACTAACATTGAAATTTTGAAACAGCAGCAGAGTGAGTGAATTTTAATTTTTGTTCATTGTTGGTGGTTTAAAAGAAAAAATTCCCCCCATGTAAAATTATTGTGAACACTTTGCTTTGTGGTCACTGTAACATTTTGGGGGGGGTGGGACAGGGAGGAAAAGTAACAATAGTCCATTTGTCCCTGGCATCTATTCAGAGCAGTGTGCAGAATGTAATGCTCTTTTGTAAGAAACGTTTTATGATTTTTAAAATAAATTTAGTGAACCTATTTTTGGTGGTCTTTTTTTTTTTTTTTTTAAGACAGTCATTTTTCAAATGGCTGGATCCTCAACCCACCCCAAACTAAACACTAAGTTTGATTTTCAGCTCCTCTGTTGGATATAAATAAATGTATCTCTTCTTGGAAATAGGCATAATATCTTGGCTAATTCCATTCTGGTGATTTCTTGATTTGAAAGTCCATTGCTTGGGAAGAAATTCTGTCATACACGTTTATGCTTATAATAAGCTGGGGATTTTTTTTTTGTTTGCAAATGCTTGCCCCTACTCTGCAGCAGTTTTCTATGTTAGTAATTGTAAAGGAGAACCAAGGTGGGGAGCAATACTACAAATTGAGTAATGGTATAAGTATATGCCAGAAACCTAATGGCAGCAAGTTTTATTAATCAGAATAATACTTGGTTATGGAAGTGACTGATGCTAAATAAATTCTTATTATTTTTTATTAGATGATTTCTCACCTATAGACAAACTGTCAGCCTGCTAGTGTCTTATTAGTTAAACTTTTTAATATATATATATATTCTTGTTTTTTTTTCCATTGTATGCAAATTGAAGGAAAAAGATGTACCATTTCTCTGTTGTATGTTGGATTATGTAGGAAATGTTTGTGAACAATTCAAAAAACGATGAAAAAAGTTCCTGTGGATGTTTTGTGTAGTATTTTGGCATTTGTATTGATAGTTCAAAGTTCACTTCCAAATAAATAAAACTCCCATAATGCTAAAAAAAAAAAAAAAAAAAAAAAAAAAAAAGAGTCTCTCATGGCTTGTCTCCCTCTATGATTTCTTCCCATTCAGTTTTCCCTTCCTTGCCCTGTGGTTCTCTGCCCTATTCCTTGTGTTCCACATATGAGTGACACCAAATGATTATTGCTTTTTCTGCTTGATTGATTTAATTTAATATAACCCCCTCCAGTTCCATCCATGTCGATGCAAATGGTGGGCATTTGTCCCTTCTGATGGCTGAGTAAAATTCTATGGTATGTATGTATCACATCTTCTTTATCCATTCTTCTGTTGAAGGACATCTCAGCTCCTTCCACAGTTTAACTCTTGTGGACATTGCTGCTATGAACATTGGGGAGCATGTGCCCCTTTGTTTCACTGCATCTGTATCTTTGGGGTAAATACCCCAGGAGTGCAATTGCTGGGTTGTAGGTCAGCTCTACTTTTACTTTTTGAGGAAACTTCATGCTGTTTTCCAGACTGACTGCACCAGCTTATATTCCTACCAACAGTGTAAGAGGGTTCGTCTTTATCCACATCCTTGCCAACAGTTGTTGTTTCCTGTCTGTTAATTTGAACCATCCTAAATGCTGGAAAGTGGTATCTCGTTGTGGTTTTGAATTCCCTGATGAGAACTGATGTGGAGCAATTTTTCAGGGACTGTTGGACATTTGTGTGTCTTCTTTGGAGAAGTGTCTCTTCCTGTCTTCTGCCCATTTCTTGAGTGGTTTCTTTGTTTCTTGGGTGTTGAGTTTGAGCAGATCTTTGTAGATCTTGGATACCAGACCTTTATCTGTCCTTTATCTGTCATGCCATTTGCAAATATCTTCTGCAATTCTGTAGGTTGCCTTTAGTTTTGCTAATTGTTTCCTTTGCTGTGCAGAAGCTTTTTACCTTGATGAAGTCCCAATAGTTCATTTTTGCTTTTGTTTCCCTGGCCTTTAGAGACATGTCTTGCAAGAAGTTGCAGTGCCCAAGGTTGAAGAGGTTGTTGTCTGTGTTCTCCTCTAGGACTTTGATGAAAGACAGGAATCGATCATCTTTCTTTCCTCATTGTATTTGAGCCCTCTCTCTTTCTTGGTGAGTCAAGCTACAAGTTTGTCAGTGTGGTTTATCTTCCCAAAAATGGCAGACCATATTTTCATGGATCCTTTGTCTTTTTAGTTTCCATTGGATTTATTTCCACTTTCCTTTTTTTATTTCTTTCTGTTTACTGATTTCAGGCTTTGCTTGTTTGTTTGTTTTTTGTTGTTTGTTTGTTTTTTTGTTTTTTCCAATTCTATCCCTTGTATATTAGCTTGGTCATTGGAGAGCTTTCAGATGGATTGATAAGGACCTGAATTTCTATGAACTTCCCCCTTAGAGCTACTTTGGCTGCATCCCATAACTTTTCATACGTTCTCTTTTTGTCTCAAGATACTTTCAAATTTTCTTTTGATTTCTTATTTGACTATTGGTTATTAACTAGCATGTTGTTGAATTTCCACATATTAGTGACTGTCTCATTTTCTTCTTGCAACTGATTTCCACTTGCATACTATTGTGCTTGGACAAGATTTGAGCCAGAGCATGAAGGGAGCATTCAGTTTAAAGGTTAGTTTCCTGGGGTATTTTCTGAGAGCAGACCATGACTTCCATGGGGACAGAAGAAGTTTTTGTGGGACTGGGGTGGGGGGAGGTGGTCAACCCTTGTTAGAATTATTGATTACTACCATGCCAGCTGTGTATCACTGTTCACACTGTAGCCCTGATGGATATGTACTTCCTTAGAAACATTTTCCAGGAGATGCAGGGTGTCTAACAGACAGTTGCCATGTGGGTTCATGGCATGGCCCCAGGTCATAAACCAGGATGTACAGTAAATTGGGGCATCAGAATCTGACTTTCTGTTGGAAGTGACAGGAGCAGGGCATGGTGAGTTTCATGACAATAGCTGAGGTCTGGAGTGAGCCACTGCGTGTTGGTGGTGGGTGGGGTAGTGGGCCGTGTGGATCTGTCTCATCAGAACTGTGGAATTCAGGGACCCCCTCCTGTCGGTTGAGTTGTGTGGAGATAGGTAGATAGCAGTCTCTGGCCAGGCACGAGGGTCACACTAGACTGCCACCAGAGCGGCAGCATGTGGTGGGAGCCAGTGCTCCGTTTCCATGAAAAGCCATCAGGATCTGGAGACTGTGATCAGCAGCAGCATGGAGAGAGAAGGGCGGTGGTGGTGCACACTTCCTAGGGTTGTGGTCAGCACTAAACTGGAGTCCACTGAAGTCAACTGTGCCTGACACAGAAGGCACCCAGTCACTGTAGCTGTGGGCACTGTCTCAGTGGCACTTTGATCCCATACTGCCGCCTCCTATTTTTCATCATCTTCATGTTCATGAGCCTCTGCTCTTGCCCCATGACCCCCCAGGGTACTGCCCTCCCTCCATCTGGCCCTGATCCTCTGCCTTGTGCAAGCCAATGCCAGGATAGCCTTCTCAAGAGGCAGCTCTGTCAGTCTCCTGAGGGAACATTTCCATCGGTCACCTATGAGGTGAGGACGATGCGCTGCCCTGGAAGGAGGCTGCAGGTCCCCAATCAGGAGAGCCACATCTTCCTTTTCAGCCTGGCTTGCCCTCCCCTCAGTCCTTCTCAGGGAAGCTGTCATACTTCCTCAGGTGACAGCTGTGACCTTAAAAACCAATATTGTTTTCTGTTTCTCTGTGCCTTAGTTCATCCGTGGCATGTCTTTCAAACCTCTCAGTGGGTTTTCAGCAGTCCTGCAGCTCTGTCTGCTCAAAGAGGGCATGACCTCAGAGGGCCAGCCTTCCCTGTCACCGCCCTCTGCATGTCCCTGAGCCCTGGAGCCAGCTGCCCCTCTGAATGCTGAGGGACCCGAGCCAGCCCATCCTGAGACCAGGCTGTCAGCAGTGTAGACTGATGTGTGCCAGGAGCAATGGGCAGGTGACATGGGCCAGGGCCAGGCAGTTTCTCTTTCTTTTCCTCCCCCTCTCCCTCCCAGAGGTAGCTCCAAGCAGCCTCCACAACCCACATCACGAGATCCCTTGACCTGTGGCCTCCAGCATTCAGGTGGTGAGCTTGATGGCTCCCATTGCTTCTGTCTCCCATACCCGCACCCATGGCAGTTCCTGGAGTAGGGGAGGGATCGTACCCTTGTCTGTACTTGACCCTTTTCCTACCCCGCACTGAGCCCACTCACCTTTGTGTCTTCCATGGATGTGCTTGGAAGCAAGCTCATCCACAGGAAATCTAGTAGCCAAATGGATCTAAGTCATGGCCACTGAATTAGAGATCCAGGATACAGAACAAACCAGCTCTGAAACCTGTCCCACACTCTGTGACCATCTCATACTAAAACACACACAGTAATAGCTTTCTGGATATGACATGGCATCTTTCTCTACTTACACTCTTGAACGCATAGGTGCTGATTCTGTATGAAAAGGGACCATGGCTCCTGTGGGTTAGGATTAACAGGTAAAATATAAGAACTTAGTGGAATTTGAACTTGAGGCATAGAATGAATAAATATTGATGAGAAAATACTCCCAAGCAGGGCATATGAACATTGTGTATCAAAGCTTTTTCAAATAGGTTACTGAAAGAACAATCTTTTTTTATTGTTTATTTTAATTCCAGTCAAGTTAGCCAAGTGTTATATTAGTTTCAGGTGTGCAATAGCATGAGTCAGTAATTCTGTGTATTACTCACTGCTCGCAAGAAAAATGTACTCAGTCCCCTTCATTGATTTCACTCATCCCTCCATCCACCTCCGCTTTGGTAACTGTCAGTTTGTTCTCTGTTGTTAAGAATCTGGTTTTGGTTTGTCTCTTTTTTCTCCTTTACTTCTGTATGTTTCTTTCTTCATTTCTACACAAGAGTGACACCATATGGTATTGTCTTTCCCTGACTGACTGATTTCACTCAGGATAATCCTCTCTAGATCCATCCGTGTGGCTGCAAATGGCAAGACTTCATTCTTTTTATGGCTGAGTAATATTCCACTGTGTGTGTGTGTGTGTGTGTGTGTGTGTGTGTGTGTACAAATCTCTCAGCTCATTCAGCACTTTATCAACAGACACAGGTTGCTTCCACATTGTGATCTTGTAAATAATGCTGCAGGAAACATAGGGGTGGCATGTATCCTTTTGAGTTCTTGTTTTTGTATGCTTTGGGTAAATACCCAGTAGTGCGGTTGCTGGATCCCAGGGTAGCTCTATTTGTAACGTCTTGAGGACCCCCCATACTGTTGTCCAGAGCGGCTGCAGCAGGTTGCTGTTCCACCAACAGTGCACCAGGGTCCCCTTCTTCCACATCCTCCCAGCACCTGCTGTTCCTTGTGCTGTCGATGGGAGCCATTCTGACAGTATGTGCTAATACCGCATTATACTTCTGATTTGCATTTTCCTGAGCTTGGGTGATGGTGAACATCTTTTCATGGGACCGTTGGCCATCTGTATTTCTTCTTTGGAGAAATGTCTGTTCATGTCTTCGGACTATTTTTTAACTGGGTTTTTTGTTTTTTGGTGTTGAATTCTATCCACTCCACATATTTTGGACACTGTCCCTTTACTGCATAGGATATTTGCAAATATTTTCTCCCTTTCAGTAGGTTGTCTTATTATTATTACTTCTACCTTCTGCTGTGCGGAAAAGTTTTATTTTGATATAGTCACGATTGTTTATTTTTGCTTTTATTTCCTTTGCCTCAGGAGACAGTCTAGAAAAATGTTGCTCTGGTCCATGTCAAGAAGTTACTGTCTGTGCCCTCATAGGACTTTTATGGTTTCAGGCCTTCCACTGAGGTCTTCAAACTGTTCTGAATTTATGTGTCTGTATGGTGTAAGGAAGCAGAGTAATTGCATTCTTCTGTGCATAGCTGTCCAGTTTTCCCAGCACCATTAGTTGTAGAGACTGTC